CCAAAGATAAAATAGCACCATCCATTTTTTTTTTGTTTTTCTGGCGACTTGAAATTTTTTGTCATTCTTTTTTTTGTTTTTTAAAAAGCACAATATGGGGCCAGAGTGATAGTATAGTGGATTGGGTGCTTGCTTGCATGAGGACCACCCATATTTCATCCCTGGTACCCAAAATGTTCCCTAGTCCCACCAAGAGTTTTCTCTGAGTACAGAACCATAGCAAGCCTGAGCACTGTTGGCTGTGGCCCAACTCCCCATGCGCCCCCCTCCCCAAACAAACAAACAAAAACAACACATATTAGGGGACCAGAAAGATAGCACAGTGGGTTAAGTACTTGCCTTGCATGCAACTGACCTGGATTTGATCCCTGGCACCCCAATATAGTCCCCTGAACTCTGCTGTGAGTCATCCCTGGGTTGAACCAAGAGTAAACTCTGAGCACTGTCGGGTATGGCCAAAACCTAACCAACAAACTAACCAAACAAGAAAGCCTCAAATATCTGTATCCCATAACTATTTTTTCTTCTAAAATTTCTAATAGGACTGTTAATTTGAATAAATTACTCCTTCAGGAAAAATTAATCTATTTGAGTTCATTTCATTGTCCTCCTTTGGTACATTATTTAGAAAGCAATTTATTCCATTTGTGTGTATATGTACATACATACATGTAAATAAATATGCACACACATTTAACTTTGTGTTTTAAATGCTGTTTTCTTATATCCATAAGCTTTAGCATGAGATTCCAGAGCCACTGAATAAATCAAGAGATGACTTACAGAAGAGCTTCCAGTTCTGTGACAAAACTCCATCAAATGGCTTTGGGTACATGTGCATCCTAATCTTAATGGGGCACAATATTTTACTTCATGAACAACTTTTTAATCTGTGCTTTCATAATTTGTCCTAAATTGTGGTTTAAGTGTCCCCTGAATTTTTATTTTCTTTTCTTTTTATGACATTACTGGTTTCCCATGTATATAAATCCAACATTAAGACAGTAGTGTTGGTTTCCCATGTCTAGAAATCCAATACCTCACTCATAATCAGTGCATCCAACAAAAAGTATAAAGGTGTTCTCATAATTGGAAGACACAAAGTTAACTATCTTATTTAGAATTAAAATAACTGAAATTTATTCATTATAGATAAGGCATTTTTTCCTTTTTTTCCCTCTTAGTAGGTAAGGGATATAGCATATGATTTTTTCCTAATGCATCTAGATGGGCATCTTAAGGTACTCTTCTTGAACTTGTTTCATGGAGGAGTCAGAAATACATTGGTAGACTTTTTCAGCATTTTGGAGATTTCTCTTTTATTTATTTTTTAATGTAGGAGTATTGCTATTTATTCAGCCATTGATTAGGCTGATTGAATTGGGCATGAACTCCACCTTACCTCCCCCCTCCCCCTTTTTTTTATAAATTTATTTATTGTATCACTGTGAGAGTAGTTACAAAGCTTTTGGGTTTAAGTCTCAGTCATAAAATGATGGAACACTTGTCCTTCACCAGTGCCCATTCTCCACCACCAAAAACCCCAGTAACCCCCCATCTCACACCCTCCCCCTATCTGTGGGGGCAGATGATTTCCACATGACTCTCTCCACTTTGATTTCATTCAATATTTCAACCCCAGGCCCACTTTTATTATTTGGGATTTTACCCCAACACTCAGATCTGCCGAAAAGGTAACTGTAGACAATTTGTTTTCTATTGCTGGTTATGAATAACATATGATGTCACATGGCCACAGTAGTGGCCACGTGATTTTGAAATTCCAAAATTTTAACAATTAAATCTGGAGAGATTTCTGCCCAAACCTGCTGGATTCCGAGATTTGTTCCTCAGTCTCTGGAATCATGGCCATTAAGCAGCTTGATTAGGAACCAGAGAGGCCCGTTCATGGGCGGCAACTTTGGGTCTCTTTGGGGCAGGAGGTCAAGGCCGGCTCCATCCCCATCCTGTGAGACCCCATGTGTCTCGTCACTGCTGGCCCAAACCTGACTGACCAATGGCCTCTGGAGGATGGTGGCCACTGAGCCACCAAGGGGGAGAGGCGGAGGAACATTACCCTTTTCCCTATGGGGTGGCCTGGCACTAGTAACTTACTTCAGGAACCAGAGGTATCTCTGCCAAAAGCCATTGGGTTCCAAGATTTGTTTCTGAGTCTCTGGGATCATGGCCATTAAGCAGCTTGATCAGGAGCCAGAGAGGCCGTTGGTGGGCAGCGACTCAGGGTCTTGTTGGGGCGGGGAAGAAAGGACCAGCTCCATCCCATCCCAT